CTGTTGGGGCCATAATTCAGAAGTGGAAAGAACATTATTTCACCATTTCATTATTTATGGTTTGATTTCTTTGTATGTATGGATCACTTGGGTTGTTACCGACATCTGGTGAAAATTTCATGTCATTAGCACCTCTAGTAATATATTTACTGAGAAAAATGGTGACGTGTTCAATACTTATTTTAACCGCTATGTGTATCATGTTAGATGTTTTGCCTCCACTGTCTGCAAGATGTTGCCGTCTGTCTTTTTATGGCATCCTAAGTATTTTCATATAGCTGGCTTTATTCTTTTAGCCAGGGAAAAGTTTCACACATCCTCATCTCCATCAAACATTGTAGCAGCTTTCTTGTGCCTCATCAGTCCATGTTGTTGGCTTGTTAACACTTGTGGCTACTGCTAACGATCGACCAATCTTTCTTCTTCAGGTTTCTTCTGGGTTCATAACCTGTTGAGCAGGGCAGACTCAGCAGAGATGAACTCAAAAGAATAAAGTTAGATGGATTCAGATATATTTTCTCCCCATCTCTTCTTTTTATTTAACAGAATGGCAGAAAACGCATCCTCTCTTCTGGAGGGGAAAAACATCACAACACACTGTCTCTCTTCAGTTCAACAACAGGCTGATGCAGCATGCTCATGAACAGTGGACTGGTGCCACACAGTGGACAAAACTTATCACTGGACCTCCAGCAAAATCATCAAATGAAGTCAACATGTTCACAACTTGAGGATACAAATATCTCAACATGTCTCTACTCAAATCATTAGTAGTATTGTTCTAATAATGAATAAATGAGTGAATAAACAAGAACTTTCTCTACATTTCAATTCAATATTTGTGACCCATCATATCGAAATGAGGATTAAGTCAAATTTGGTCAAAATGACCTCATTACATTTTCAGATTCTTGGCTTTAAAAGCTACATTTTGATACCTGTTATTATAATTAAATCCATATATATGACTTAATTTGTCTTGTTGGTTACAATAATACATAAATATTTGGTCTGAATCCTAATTTTATTCCTTTTAATGAGGAATTTTTGATGTCCTTATAAAGAGGAAACCTCAAATTATATTTGAATATTGAGGTTTTCCACCTAAAACGAAACAAAACTTTGCTAACTCACAGGGAAAATCTCAAATATTTAAGGCGTTTTTCCTCAAAATCAGTTTTTTTTTGTTGCTGCTGCTCAAAAAAGTGATTCAAAATTTAGTTTTATGATTATATTTCAGGCAGTTCATTCAAATGATACATTGATAAGGCTTTTATTCATTATATTTTGACTAAACACATCTTTTGTTAACATTTTAGTCAAAACACTATTTTTGCCTATTTCTCCTTATACCACGTTTGGACTTAATCCTCGTTTCGATGTGATGGGTCACATTTATTTACAATGTGATGGACAAGTGTTGAGCATTTTCAAATACCTTTCAGCATAACATTTATAGCTGAGACTAATTTGCAATATATTTCCCCAGATGGGCCTTTTGCAGTATTTAAAAAAATGCAGTTTAAAAAGAATAAAACATTGCACCATTAGGACAATACATAAAACAAGATAAGAAAAAAAAATCACATCATTAAAAAGGTAGCACTTATTTAGGACCAGCAAACTGGTTCTCCTACAGCAGGGGTCTGCAACCTTTATGATCAAAAGAGCCATTTGTGCTCTTTGTCTCACTAACAAAATGTGTTCGGAGCTACAAAACAAGCTACAACAGTGATTATCAACTGGTGGTCCGTGGGCCTTTTTGAGGCCTTTTCGGGAACCTTTATGGTCAGTGGAGGTGACATTATAAAACTAATATAATATATAATGTAATAATATAATTTAGACAGGTTCAAACAATTTGCTTTAAGGTTTAAAGAAAAGACACAGGTGCTTTAACAAAAAACCTTGGTTGAGCGAACATAAAGTATTTGCTAAAGAAATTAATTTAATGTTGACGGAAAACTCAGGTTCCAAGTAAAGGCCTGTCAAAGTGCTGAAGCAGAAGGTTTAAGAAAAGATGTTTGTTGAGGAGCAGCAACTTTCGTTGATCAGTCAGTAACGAGGACAATAATTCTTGGCAGAAATCTCTGAGAAAAACTTAAAGCATTAGAAATTTTTTTGCAGAAATTCCCAGGATTTAGATGATGACACTTGTTGGTAAAAAGAGCACGGAGAATTTTGTCAGAAGAAATGAAAAATCTTCACTGGTTGGAAGACAGCAGGGGGATACGTGGGTAGGCAGAGGAGTGAGGGAGATGAATGTGAGGCTTCTCAGTAATTCAGAGCATCAATACCTGCTGGCGAGAGAACCAGGGCTTGTAGAATGTCTGACAGAGAGACAATCCCTCTCACCACATCATCACTGTCCACCAAAACCAGCCTATGCACCTGATGGGGAAATACAAAAGGGTTCAGTTGATATCCATTAACTCAGCAATCCCAGACAAGTTGGGCCACAATATGTAAGGACCAAAACTACACAAAACACAGAGAAGATTTTTATCTTGTTGATCAGGGCCCGTATTTATCAAACGTCTTAGAATTACTCTTAAGAATGCTGCTAAGAGTGGACTTAAGTGTAAAAAAATTCTTAGTTAAAAGCTGAGAGTAAAAGTCAGTTATCAAGCGTCTCAGTCTTACTTTAAGTGAAGTGTAGGAGTAAATCTTCAGTGTCAGTCTTACTTTAAGTGAAGTGTAGGAGTAAATCTTAAGCGTCAGTCTTACTTTAAGTGAAGTGTAGGAGTAAATCTTAAGGGTCAGTCTTACTTTAAGTGGAGTGTAGGAGTAAATCTTAATGTCAGTCTTACTTTAAGTGAAGTTTAGGAATAAATCTTAATGTCAGTCTTACTTTAAGTGAAGTTTAGGAATAAATCTTAATGTCAGTCTTACTTTAAGTGAAGTGTAGGAATAAATCTTAAGTG